CTGCCGCCTTCCCCCTTCCTGCCACCCAGAGCCAAATGCCTCTTCCCCAAGCCGTGGGCTGAATGGCTATTGGCCTCCAGGGCCAGAGCCTACCTGGCCAGACTATATTGTGTGCCTCTGAGATGTGACACACTGGCCATGCTACCGGCACCCTAAGGGCCTGGGGTCTACAAGCCCCAAAATTTTCAACCTACTTTGGGTGTGTGCCCTTAGTGCAGACAGAGAGGGGTTTAGTTCCTCTTGGGGACTGTGGGTGGGCTGCCGCTTGGCCTCCTCCCCAGGGAATGCGACTTCCCCACCCTTTGCCCCTCCCATCTGGTAGCAACCAGGCTTAGAGGATTTCGGCAGCCCCCTTGGTTCTGGGACAGCTCAGGGAGTTTGCAAGCTGCCCTCAGCTCAGAGGAGCTGGGAGGGGACAGCAGCCGGCTACCGGAAAGGCTGCCACATCTAGTTCTGGACCATGGCTCTGGCTCCACGGCTGATTGAAGGGAAAGAAACCCTCTGTGTTAGGAAGTGCCTGAAGCAGTAATGACATTTCTCTCTTCTCACCCCTGCAGGGGGCGCCAGGTGCAAACTCTGTCCCGTGAACTGGCGGCTGCATGAGGACAAATGCTATTGGTTGTCGAAAGAGCTGAACAGCTGGAGCGAGAGCCGTGAGGACTGCACAAGGAAGGGATCTGAAATGCTGGTGATCCAGAACACGGAACAGATGGTACCGTGCATTGTCTGTCGGGCACAGCGAGAGCCGTTCCTCGTGTCTCCGTTCTCTGCTACCTGTCTCTGTACAGGGGTCTCCAAACTCCATTGCCCCACAACCTCCTTCTGACACTGAACATTACTCCATGACCCCAGGTGCTGGAGTGGGGGGTGGAGCTGGGGCCCAAATCCCCCCACCCTGGTGTTTTGCTTCACGTCAGACCTGTGAGTCTCACATTAATGGAGTTGTCAGAATCAAAATAGGGTCACAAGCTACTTTGGGGTCCTGACTAACGTTCCCTCCAATCTTTTCCACCCATGCGAGGATCATTCCCATCCATGTGCGGAATAAATGTGTTCTGTGCACCAAGGCTTGTACAAATGTGCACCACCAGTGGAAACACAAACCCAGTGGTGAGGGCTCTTCTGATCCGTGGGGCAGCTTTGGAATCTCTCCTCAGCGGCCAAACAATGGGGCCAGGTGGCTGACATGGGTTCAAAGGCTAATTGATGAGAACGTGGTTCCAGCCCCAGCAGTGAGTTAGACATTTTGTTCACAGGCCAGCAGCTCAGAGAGCGAAGACTCTCGCTATCTCATTAGTGCTAATGACATAAATTACAGAAATGACACAAATGACAAATTATTATGCATTTTATACGAGTAGATGTACCGAGTGTTGCTCAAGTCTGTAATGATATAACAGGTGGGAGGGGGTAGAAAATAAATGAAAACTGTCCGTGCTTCATTTCCATATTTGTATTTTTTTTAAATGAAGGAAAGTGAGGGTTTGAGTGAGGGTTTGGGGGTAAGGAGAGGCAGGGGGCGGCTGGCTGAGGGCAGACAAGGTGGGGATAGTGGGGGGAGCGGGGCAAGATGCCGGGGCAAGATGCCAGAGCAAGGGGCCACGAGAAGGAAAAATAGGTAACAGTGGGTGAGACGCTGGCCAAAAGGGGGCGCTCTGGGGCTGAAAAGTGCCAGCAGGAGGCACCCATGGTGGTGAGTCACACCCTGTTACATGCCCCCAGTGGCTGCTGTTTGTATCATCTTCCTCCCATCTGTCGCTCTTCCCCTCCTCTCTCTACCCCCTCCCTTTCCATGGTATGGAAAACAGTCCCATTCCTGGCACTTCCTGTTGCCCAGGTACAACCAAACCTTGGCCTTGGGTTAAGTTTGGGTGAGAGGAAGTTGCATAACAAATTGGGTGCTGCAGCTTTTATGGTTTAGGAGGGGTTCGTGAACAAAGGGACTCACAGGCGCACAGACAAACTCGTTCTAAAATAGCAGATCGAGAGGGGGTGGATGGGGATAGATGGTAGCACAACCAGGGCAGCCGGTTAGGGTGGCGGTCTCATGCTGTGGGTTGCTGGCTGTGCCCATTAGGGGAGACAGTCTCTGAGCCAAAGCATTTACAATCCAAATGACCAGATGGTCCAACATCAGGGCATGATCCCCACTTTACGAAAGGGAAACTGGCACTCAGAAGTCAAGGGACTGTCTGCAGCACAGCGTGTGGTGTCGGATTGTTGCTGGGAGGGTTTTCTGCATTCGTGCATCTCGGGGTCTGTCTTAACACCGGGTGCTGTGAACACTGGGGCAGAAATAAAAAACGTCTAGAGCCTCAAACCTTCACATGGCCCTTCTGTTGCAGGATCACCTGCAGTCGGCCCTACCAGAGGCAGATCATATTTGGATTGGATTAGCATTTAACTCATCCCAGGGGAAGTGGACCTGGCTGGACGGTGCCTCTGTCCCAGAACTGTGAGTGTTACTATTTCATGCATGGAAGATGCCTCGCCGTGCCATTTGCTGGGTTAGAGCCTGCAAGGTGCCCCACGCCAGCTGCTCAGGGCCTCCTTGGTGTGTGGTCAAAACTAGTTGTCTTCACTGCACATCTGCCACCAAGCTGCCCTGGATTCCCAAGGGAGGCGAGACAGACTCACTGGAGTCCTGGCCACTGAACTCTACTCGCTCTGAAAAAGGCCGCCTCTGCCCAGGGAAGCTAGTTTAGCAGGGGAGAGGCCCTGGCCAATGAGGTCACCTGTGGGGCTTGACCTAGAGGTCACCTGACAGAGGATCGGGAAGGCTACAGAAGGACGGGAGCCGACCTCTCCTTCTCCTCAGCCCATCTAGAGGTTCCCTTTTGCTTGTCTCGGGGGCGGGGGGAATCAGGTGTCGTCTCAAAGTCCCTTCCAGTTCTACAGTCCTAGGGTTCAGATCTGGTCAAGCTGAGGCCATTTGCATGTAGGGCAGAGGGAGTTTTTCCCGGAAAATCAGACGCTTTTCTGGAAAAACTTGCCAGCTGTCTACACCGGCTGCTTGAATTTCCGCAAAAGCACTGACTTCCTACTGTAAGAAATCAGTGCTTTTTGCGGAAATACGATGCTGCTCCCATTCGGGCAAAAGTCCCTTTTGCACAAAACTTTAGCGCAAAAGGGCCTGAGATTTGTTTTCCACAAAAAATCCCCGATCACGAAAATGGCGATCGGGGCTTTTTTGCGGAAAAGCGCGTCTAGATTGGCCACGGACCCTTTTCTGCAAAAAAGTGCTTTTGCGGAAAAGCATCCGTGCCAATATAGACGCTCTGTTCCGAAAATGCTTTTAACGGAAAACTTTTCCATTAAAAGCATTTCCGGAAAATCCTGCCAGTCTAGACACAGCCATACAGACCCATCGTGACCTGAGGAAAAGTAAAAGGTCCCTTACAGGAGGCAGGCAGGGCAAGAATGTGTCTTTGTGCCTGTATAAAGGGTCGTGTTCTACTGGGCCCCACTCGTCTATTTGAATGGATTGCACAGGGCAACCTTCCTAGGTGGGGTGTATTGCACTCATGGCCCCTGTGTCTGAAAAGGAAAAAAAAGTCCCATAAAGAAGAGCTGTGACAGGCTCCTTAAACTAAACTGACCGCGACTTTCTGTTTCATCCGGCAGGGGCCCAAGGATGGGTAAGGTGAACACGAACAGCTGTGGAGTGCTACAAAGGAGGAACATTGAGTTTGAAAACTGCAGCGTTAAATTGAAATGGCCGTGCCTGAAAGCCGCCTTCCCGCTTTAGACTGCGGCATGACCGTGGAGGAAACCAAAGAGCCCAACGTCTCAGAAACCTCTGCCGTGTGTTTCAGGCTCACACAGCTGCCGAACCCTGGCTGGGTGCATCAGCCACGGCAGCTCTGGAGTCAAAAGGGCGAGATCCCCAACTGATGTTGATCTGCACTGTTGACATCTGTGGTTTTACTGGTCACTGAAGAAAAGCAAACCCAGTGACCCCCCCTGGCCCATCCGTGCTGCCCTTTTCCCCATTGCTGCCCCCTGGAAGAAAGAGGGACGCACACCTCCCCCGGGGTGGCAAAGCCAGGGAGCTAGTGTCCCCAAAACAGAAATATTGTGAGTCCACATAATTGGCCCACGGCTGGCAGGTTGAGGACAAGAGCAGCACCTGGAGGGTTGAACAGGCCTGGGAGCAGTCCTGCAGTCTTCCCATCCTGCAGTCCCCTCTCTGTTCCTAGTCCTATGGAGATATACCTATCTCATAGAACTGGAAAGGACCTTGGTCATAGCAGGATCAATTACCGTCCCGGACAAATGTGGCCCAGATCCTTAAACAGCCCCCTCAAGGATTGAACTCACAACCCTGAGTTTAACAGGCCAAGGCTCAAACCACTGCGCTGTTCCTTCACCACTATGTCTCAGCAACTCCCTTCACAATTCCCTCCTGTCTCCCTGCCCTCCTCCCCCTCCCCGGCAGCTTCTCAACTTCCACCCGCTCGTAGTCCACCTTTAGCCTGGCTTCCTTTTCCATCCTGCCACCGCTGGCCATGTGACCTCTTAACCCTTTCTGGGCTGCAGGGCCTTTTCCAGCACCGCCCGGCGGTGTGGCCGGGATGCCAGGCCTGGACCTGGCTCTGGGGAAATAAAAACTTCTGTGAAAAACATGTTCCTGCCAAGCACGAATTTTATTTAGTTCATACCATACAGCGAGATAAAAGCCTCCACTTGAGATCAGGGCCCCCTTGTGCCCAGAGGTGCACGCACACACGAAGGGAGCTCACAGCGCATAAGCCTGGCTTTCGTTGATCACAACATGTGCGCTCGTAGCCTGCACAACCGCCTGGCTCTGTAAATGACGGTGAGTGTGAGGTTATGTAATCAATTAGCTGATTCGCTAAACCACGGCTGAAAGAAGGATGTACTGGAGACCACTCTGACCAGTTCCCCCAGTGTCGAATGGCTGAGAAACCATTAAAGGAAGAATCCAACAATCCCCTTCAGTAGTATAACGGCCCTACCAACAATCAAATTAGCCCCGCCCCCTGACCCCGGAAGCCCCGCCCACCCCGTCACCGGAAAGCCCCGCCCTCGGGGGTAATCCATCCGGGGTCAAGAGGGGCAGGTGACCGCAAGTAAGGGGTGTCATGTGACCCCTCTAAGTACTCGCCCTGCCTCCCTCTACCAATCAGGGATGGACGATGACTTTCTAGAAACCTTTGAGAAATTGCACATCGGCAATCCTATGGGAGTAAATCTATCTTGGGCCAGCTGTTTTTGCTCATATCTAACACATGGCTCTCGAGAAGAATGAATTAACTCGGACTCCCTAATAGCGATAGTGGTGGGGGTGTCAGACTGTTTTACAAAGACACTCCTGGACAACACGAAAAAACAGCTGGATGGTGAGAATCTAGGATTTGTGAGGTGTGCAAGGCTGACGTCCCAGAGCAGGACAATGGAGTTGTTGGGTCATCTACACAGCGACCTGTTTTTTCAAGAAAAACTTTTGTTGAACGGGGTGGATGTGAAAATTAAATTGACATGCAGTAAAGAGGCCTTTTGTTTAATGGGCGATGCAGCTGAGGGTTTTAAACTGCGCATTGTATCAGCCTCCCTCTTTGTGAAGAAAGTGCGTGTGGCCCCGGGCGTCCGTCTGGGGCATGCGGAGGCCCTGCTTACCGCTAATGCTAAATAGCCTGTGGACCGTGTGGGAATGAAAGTGTTTAGCATCCCCGCAGGCAGCAGGGTCAGTAACCAGGAGAACTTGTTCTTGGGACAATTACCCAAAATACTTGTCCTAGGGTTTGTAGATAGACGCCTTTAGCGGAAGTTACGCTAAAAACCCATTTCATTTTAAACATTCTGATATTAATTTTGTGGCCCTGTATGTGGATGGTGAACAGATACCAACCAAACCTCGGAAACCAGACTTTGAGGCTGGCCGCTGTGTGAGAGAATACATGAATCTGGTCCAGACAGCAGGCAAACACATGCAAGATCGTTCTCTGTTAATTGACCTTAAGGAATTTGCAGGGGGTTACACCTTGTTTGCCTTGGATCTCTCTCCTGACCAGGAATGCGCGGACCAGTATTCGCTGATTACAACAGGGAACCTCAGAGCAGAAATCCGCTTTGGGAAGGCTTTGACGGTCACCGTCAATATGATCGCGTATGGGGTTTTTGGCACCGCAATAGAGATAAATCAGAGGAGAAACGTTCTGTTTGAGTACATGTGAAGATCGACACCGTGCAGCTCACGTGTCTTATCAACAGACCCTTATACAAAGGAGAATTTCTTGGATGTGTTACCTTGTGATTGGCTCCCTGGTGGCAGGGTCTCTGGGTCGGAAGAGTGCACCAAATCTGAACTAGACTTGTTTCAGATAGCCCCTACTCAGACCAGCATTGAGAAAAGCATCTACATCGAGGTGCCGCCTCTGTCAGCTGTGACAGAAACTGCCCCCATCGACTTTTTTATAGCAGGGAATGGCATAGATTATATGGATTTAAACAACATCCTACTCTACCTTTGTTGCAAGATAGTAAAAGGCGATGGGACTGCACTCCCCAGGGATGCCGCGGTAGGCCTGGTGAATTACCCAGTGGCCTCTATTTTCAGTCAATTGGACGTTACATTGGGAGACCGCCTAGTAAGCAATTTTCCGCCTGACTGTTTTACAAAGACACTCCTGGACAACACGAAAAAACAGCTGGATGGTGAGAATCTAGGATTTGTGAGGTGTGCAAGGCTGACGTCCCAGAGCAGGACAATGGAGTTGTTGGGTCATCTACACAGCGACCTGTTTTTTCAAGAAAAACTTTTGTTGAACGGGGTGGATGTGAAAATTAAATTGACACGCAGTAAAGCACCCCAGGTGAGGGGTTTAAAGGCAACTGATGGTTGTTTTTCTTAATTTTTCTTCTTAAAAACAATGAACAATTCAGAAAAAATACCTAGACATAATATATATCTATTAAATAGATATTCTATATATAGAGAAGTGTTTTATTTAAAGCAAAATGTGATCAAGTTCAAAAATTATTTTTAGAACATGACAAACTTCACACACTGAGCCAGTCAGACAGTTTAGCCAATTTTTGTTTTTTAGAAGGCAAAAAAGGAGTTGGTGTTTCTCGATCCATCCCAGCGTCAGTGGCTGAGGCCTTCAGGCGTTCCAAAAGAACTCTGTTGTCTGCACTGCCCATGATGGAAGATGGAACGTTTAGTTCTGCCATGGCATTGATAAACACATCCCATCCTTTAGGTACATGTCTGCTAGGGACAGAACGCGTCTGGGTGACGGCTCTGACTAAGTCAAGCATGTTAGAACCATTCACCACCGAGCCTTTGTACACAAATGCACCTTTATCATTCCAGGAAGCGATAGTTTTATCCTGGCCCAGCTTATTTAGCAACACTGAGGCGTTTTTCTTATAACGCTTATTCACGTTATCCAACAGCTCCTGAACCACAGAGTCTGAGGTGTTTTCTGTTTCTGGAGGTTTGGCGGTGTCACTCTGTTCTGGTAGAAACAGACTTATTTTCCTTTTATCTGCATCACTTTGCCTCACGTACGTTAGGTATCTCTGAAGCACAGCGCTGTAGAGTTTAGCCTTTTCGTATTCGGCTAAGTCAGTCCTTTGAAGAACAGACTTCATTTCAGCATCCAGTAAGCGAGTTGCAGTTGTTCTGATATTTTCCTCCACTGGAGGGGGAGCCCTTAATTGCTCCAGCTGATGACTGGGCACCAGGTACATTTTTTCTGCATACTCCATTATCGGTTATTCAAAAGCCCCGTTATCAGAGGGACAGCAAAACTTAACAAAGGGCCGATAAACCCCCCAGACTGCTTCACCAGATGCTTCTTTCTTTTAAGCGAGACCCTTTTATTAGACAATGTTTTTATAAGCGTGCGTTTCTTTTTCAGCACGCTCACTTGATTCTGCGTCAAAGGCACGTTTCCTTTTAAGGTATTGAGTGCTAGTTCTGAGATGGCCGCTACTAAATCGTCAGAGGCCAAACACAGTATAGCCTTCCTTTGCTGCGGGGGTGATTTGCTAAGTAATTTTAAAAGAGCCAGGTTTCTCTTCACGCAGCTAGACATGTTTTCGGTCGGCAACCCCCAGCTGTTAAAAAGGGTCTGCCGATAAATCATCTCTTTTTATACCCGGCGGTTGTTCTTTTCAAAGTAGAAGCCACCGGCCAGTCTGGAGGGAAAAGACCAGTTCTTAGTCTATAAGCTTCTGGCGTGGACGCATTTAAATCCACCACCAGGTAGCCATAAGGTCTTTTGGTAGCATCCTCAAAAGCTTCTAGAAAGAATTGAGCCTTGCCGGGGTACATTTGCCGAGCAAGCGTAGCGATTTGTAGTTTATCCCTGGGGTTTTTGAACAGAACCATGTACTTAGCGTTTAGCTTAATCGTACGGCTCTTTTTCCCCTGACAAAATACGTTCTAAACGATATACGTAATGCTCAAGTTCTTGTGGTGCACGTACTTGGTGAAGGCTC